TACTATCACAGGAGGAGGAATTTTTCCTTTCTCGACTTCCACTTTCAAAGTCATCACATGCATCGTGATTATGATCAACTTGAAAGACATTAAAAATTTCCTCCTCCTTACCTACTCGGAATGTCAACTTGCCTCTCCCGACATCGATGAGTGCATCACCAGTTGCTAGAAAAGGTCTGCCGAGAATTAGAGGCACTCCCTGATCTTCTTCCATCTCCAGAATCACAAAATATGTAGGGAGAATAAACTTCCCCACCTTCACCAATACATTCTCCACCACTCCCTTTGGGATTTTTACTGATCGATCAGCCAATTGGAGTGTGATCCGAGTAGGTTTAAGAACATCTCCCAATCCCAATTTCTTATAGACTGAGTATGGGGTCAAATTAATTCCTGGTCCAAGATCACAAATTGATTTATCGAACTCTCTACCTCCAATAACACATGGAATGGTGAAACTGCCCGGATCATCCCTCTTTTCTGGTAATTTATTCTGAATCACGGCACTACATTCAGAAGTAAGGGTTACCTTCTCCATATCAGCCCATTTGCGCTTCTTTGTCAGCAACTCCCTTAAGAATTTAGCATATGTAGGCATCTGTTCAAGTGCCTCCGCCAATGGTATGTTAATCTGAAGTTGCTTGAAGATATTCACAAATTTCTTGAAGTTTGGGTCTTCCATGGGCTTCATTAACCTCTGAGGGAATGGTGCGGGAGGTTCATAAGGCTTTACCTCTTCATTCTTCAATTTTCCCACTTTTTGAGGTACACGGGCAGCATGCTTTTGCACAGGCAAACTGCTTTCATTTTGCCTGTGCAAGGCTGATTCTTCATTTTCTGCACAAGATCTTTCTCCCGGTGCTTCCTCTTCTGCCTCTGGTGCCTTTTTCGAGCTGCTAGGTTCTTCCAAGGCCTTTCCACTCCTCAATGTCACTGCTACAACCATGTCATCCTTCGGATTCCTCTCAGTATTTGCTGGTAATGTCCCAGGAATCCTGGCTTGCATATCTGCCAAAGTTTGAGCCATCTGTCTCATCTGCCTCTCCATAGCTAGCATAGACGATTGTAAATTATTGTTAATGGCTAGCTGTTGAGTGACAAATTGATCCAGGCCCTTGAAATTATTGTCTGTTTTCTGCATATGAGCCCAAATCAACTCCTCCAGCTGGGGCTTCTTCTCTGGTTGAGGCTGCTGCTGTTGAAAACCAGGAGGTGGGATGTTTCGAACACCAGTTGGATTATTGTTTGACCATGACATATTGGGGTGATATCTCTATTGAGGGTTATATGTATTTGAATACATACCACCCTGGCCTTGACTTCGCGGATTATTGATAAGCTAGACATCTTCCAACTGAGCAGCTCCCAGTGGACACATATCCCTATGATGAGGACCCTCACAAAGTTCACATGAAGTAACCTCCTCTTGTCTACCAAGAGCCATCTTAGCCAACCTTCGTTCGAGTGCATCGAACTTAGAATCCAACTTAGCATCAATCTTTGCTTCTAAACTTGCAACTCTGTCTATCTCATGCAAGCCTCCTCTCCTTCGAATACTGGTCTCACTACCCCATTCAGTGGCTTCTGAGCATATCTTCTCTACCAGTTCATATGCTGATGGAGCCTCCATTCTTGTGAAACCATTTCGAGAAGCATTATTTAGGGCATCCCGAAACTCCCTTCTGATTTCATTGAAGAAAATAATGATCACGTTCCAATCTTCAAGAACATGGCTTGGGCATCTCATCAACAACCCCTTGTAGCGCTCCCATGCCTCATTCAGACTCTCATCATCAGCCTGCTTAAAAGTAACAATCTCTTCTTGCCTCTTCATTGCCAAGCAGGTGGGAAATATTTATCCAGAAATACCTTCTCAAGCTGACCCCATGTCGTGATGGAACGGGGTGTTAAGTTCTGGAACGAGTGTGATGCATTCCCTAGCAGAGAAAATGAGAACATCCGAAGACGAATTGCATCATCAGACACGGTCGGGCTCTTCATAGTATCACAAATGCTCGCGAACCGGCGGAGATGTTCATGAGGATCCTCAGTGCTAGCCCCTGAGAAAGTATACCCATTGGTGATCATATTGATGAATGCTGGGGTAATTTCCATGGTTGCATCCCCAGCCGGAATGACAACACATGAAGCTCGGGCTCCAGTCCTTCGATTCAAACGAGCCCTGATTGATCGATCCTCGCCTGCCATGATGTCTGGCTCAACCTCACGAGGTGGTGGTGTCGGTGGTGTATGGACGACAGGTGGTGACACCTGCCTTCTCGGTTGACGATTCTGAGTTAGGGAAGGCCTAGGAGTTGTGGATGTGGTAGGCTGCTTCCCTAATTTGACCTGCTTCCTCTTCTGTCGGCAGGTCCTCTCGATCTCGGGATCTAGTGGCAGTAAATTGCCAGTCGTCCTCCTTGGCATGCACGAGGAGGATAAACCTGAAAAATTCACCTGCACACTAACACCTAGATCAAAATAGTTCACTCACAAAATTCAACAAAAATAAGGTATGGCAGTCCCCGGCAACGGCGCCAAAAACTTGATAGGTCAAAAGCGTAATGCTTCAATTCCTATCTCGTAGTAAACCGGAAAGTCCGGGTATCGTCTCTCAGGGACTGGTACAACCTTATAATATATCAATTCTGTGAGCAAACTATAAGTGAAAATAGTTGAATGAGAGTAATTTATAAAAGGAAAATAAACTAAACAAATTAAACAAATGAAAACTGTCGGGGGAAATTCAATGGGAGAAAGCTCTGGGAGAAACACCGGAACTCACTACCTATCCTATCCAGATTAATTCACATATTCCAATCAATTTAATCCATATCTCTACAGCCAGGATATCACTACTGTGCTAGCTATCCCTGTCGGGAATTACTACGTACTAGATAATCAATTCAAATCCTACTGTCGTAGCTCAATGAATTAACTATATAGTCTGAAGATCGATATCCTATTTAAGACCGCATAGCACCTTATTTAATCCACTGTCGCTTTGATAAGTTACTATGTCACATGAAATATGTTTAGTTAATAGGATTTCACTGTCGCTAATAACCTAATTAACTACAAATCGTTGTATTGATGGCCAGTCAACACAAAGCATTAAGCAATTCCATGCAATAGAGATTGGAAGAAAAGAATCATAAATCAATCCATCAAATCAAGAAATAGCTACATCCTATGGTGTTTCCCCCAGAAATCGGGGTTTAGTTCATGACGAAATTAAGATAAATCGATAGGGTTTTGTTCATCATGTTCTAAATCAACAAGAAACAACTAATTCGGTTTAGAAAATCCGACCAAATAATCGCTCTCGTTGAACTCGACTCAAGCCTTGGAAAAACTGATCGCCAATGATTGCTCAATCCTCTCTGCTGCGCGCTGCGGCCTTTTTGCCTCTCCAAAGAATTCGCTTGCTCTCGCTCAAAGAATAAAAATCCACCTTTTTTCTCTGTTCCCCCCTTTAGAAATAACTGGCCGCCTCCAATTTAATTGACAGCCGCCAAAACCCTTCAATTCTATTCCAATCCCCCTTTGGCTGCTGCCTTTCTTTTTTTCTTTTCAATTCCGTGTCCACTAGAGAAAATTCCTCCACGGAAACAAGAGAGAGGCTTGAGAGAGAAAAGCTCTCCCCTCTCTCTTCCTTTTTTCCACCTTTTCCTAGCCGTTGCCTGTCTTTTTCCGCTTTTTGAATGGAGCCTCCGCAGGGGGCCTCCGTTCCCGACCCAAAACCGCCAGACTCTTCGCCGGCCACCTCGCCAATCAAGCCATCCAAGAAGGCTAAAGCCCTCTCCAGCGATGGATTCACTGGGGAAGGCTCCATGGATTACGCTGCTGTTGTCATGTCCAGAGTCGAAATCGATCAAAGTGAGATTGTGAAAGGGGCGAACCCAGAGAACTACACTGTATCACAGCAAGAAGAAACAAAGAAGGTTAATGAGGATCAGGGAAAGCTGGATGCTGGGAAGGAGAAAACAGAACAACCGTTCTGGGGAGGTCCACACTTCTCCTACAAGGACTCGGTTCTGGGAAACACAAAAATGCCAGAGAACCAAGAAGGTAACGACCTCATGTCTGACGAATCGGATGATGAAAATGGTGAGGATGACCCTGACTGCCCAACCATCAGAGTGAGGAAAAGAACCAATGCGAGAATCCAAAATCGCTGGAATCGTGTGATCACATTCCGGGTACTGGGGAAGCACTTCCCCTTTGCTTATGTTCACCGATGCACCCAGCGTATGTGGGCAAAATCAGGAGGAGTAAAGATTGGTGACATTGGGAATGGATATTGCCAGGCGATCTTTGATTCCCAATTGGATTATGATCGTGCGCTGTATGGTGGTCCTTGGACCATTGATGACCACTACATTGTCTCTGAACCATGGAGACTCGACTTTTATCCTAACTTTGATTCAATCAACCACATATCAGCTTGGGTAAGACTTCCTCGCCTCCCTTTAGCTTACTTTGATGAAGAGATCCTCAGGGACATTGGGAATAGGCTGGGAAGGGTCCAAAAGATAGATTACAACACGGCTAATGGTTTCCGAGGTAACTACGCACGCATCTGTGTTGAGCTCGACCTTAGGAAAAGATTGGTTTCGAAATATAGGCTGAAAAGGAGGGTGCGTAGAATGGAATACGAAGGCCTCCATGTGGTTTGTTTCAATTGTGGACACTACGGCCACCTTGAGGCAAGCTGCCACACCAATTCAGGGACAGAAATGCCACCATCTGATCAGGAAGCAACCAACACTCAGCCCACCACCACCTCGCTCCAAGTAAGACCTGAAGTCCTAGAAGACTTTGGCCCATGGATGCTCGCTGAAAGACCAAAAAGGATCAAGAACCAGAGGAAAATTCGCACAAACGAAGGAGACAACAAAAAGTTGAATGTAACTGAAGGAGGAACAAGCTCGGGATCTCGCTTCAATGTACTTGAAATTGAAGATAGCCAAATAGAGGAGGGGGAAAACAAGGCTCCCATGGTCGCCCAACTGAACATCACTGAGGCTGAGAAACAAGCAGAAACTCTGGCACCTGGAGCGCCTGCTGATAATAGGAACCAGGAGAATGTGAAAGATAAGAAGAAGATGAGCAAGGAAAGTATGACGTCAGAGAAAGGAAGTACCAAAGGGGGAAAGAACCAAAAACAGAACAACCTACACAAGAAAGAGCATCAGAAGAATACACCTGAGATGAACAAGCAACAATCTCACAGCCATGGATCCAATAAGGCCCCGAGAGTGGACTTAACCGAGAAGGAGCAGCCTCAAATCCAGACTACCTTGGCACAAACAGTGCAAAAAGATGATAGAACAAACAAATCAAAGGGGGAGGGGAAACTTGCATCTGGTTCCAAGAAATCAGGAAGTGAGAAGGGCTCAACCAAAGAAGCAAGAGTGGGAAGCCAGCCAAAAACGAAGACACCAACCTCAAGCAATACATTGAGGAAAGAATTCACCACTAGCTCAGGGGAAAGTAACAGCAAAGGAAGAAAGATCATATTTTCCCCAAAGCAAGTGAATGGTAAGTCCTTGCCAGAAAATGCACAACCTTCTCCTACCATTCCTATGGAATGTACAGCAGGGGAAGATGAGGTTGCTATGGCCGTCGATCTTTGTTAATCCCAACCTTAGGGTTGCTCAGGGAAGCATCTAACCACCATCCCTATGGTTAAGATCTTCTCCTGGAATTGCAGGGGGGCCAAACACCCCAAATTCCTGCCATCTTTTAAGATGTTTAAAGAAGGACACAAGCCTGATATTGTCTGCATTATGGAACCCAGAATTAGTGGGAAGGATGCAATTGATGTCATCAAGGCTATGGGATATGATACATGGGCCATCTCTGATGCTACAGGGTACAGAGGAGGTATTTGGGTTCTCTGGAACCAGAATGAGCTGGAGATGGAAGAGGTTGATAGCCACAAGCAGTATATCAGCCTGAAATGCTCATCTGCCAGTGTGGAAATCTTTCAAATCACAGCTGTGTATGCCAGTCCCAACGAGCACGATATAAAGGAGTTGTGGGATGCTATGAGAAGAATAGAGAGATCTACCTGGATCCCATGGATTCTTATAGGAGATTTCAACTCCATTTCTAGAGCTTGTGAGAAACAGGGTGGTGCTGCATTTAATTTTGCCAAGGTTCGTGCATTCAATGAATGTATGGAAGACTGTGGCCTTCTGGATACAGGTTTCATTGGACCAAAGTTCACTTGGTTCACAAGAAACAGTGGTATCAAAGAAAGGCTGGACCGAAGCATCTGCAACCTTAATTGGCAGCATAAGTTCCCTGGAACTACTACTCTACACCTCCCTAAAATCAAATCGGATCATAGACCGATCTTGACCTGTACCTCCACTGAACCTGCCAATCTGAAACTGGCCAGAAGATTCCAGTTCCTTGCCTCATGGCTTGCACATGAGAATTTTCCTGACTTCTTGGAAGCTGCCTGGAGTGGTGGAGGAGACTTCCCACAAGCCTTGCACAACCTTGCTGAGAAGCTTAAGCAATGGAATAAGGAAGTTTATGGTAATATTTTCAGAAGAAAGAAACAGTTGCTAAGTGAGCTCAAATCACTTGAGCTGCTGAACAAGAGAAGACCTACAACAACTTCAAGGGTGAAAGAACAAGAGAAAAGAGAGGAATTGGAGGACACTCTCTGGCAGGAAGAGATGCTTTGGATCCAAAAATCTCGAACTAACTGGGTGATCTATGGAGACCTAAACACTAGGTACTTCCACACCTGCACCATCAGCAGAAGGAAAAGAAACAAGATTACCTGTCTTCAGGATGACCAGGGGAAGTGGATCAGTGATGCTGACGCCCTCCTCATTATGGCCAGGGAGTATTTCTTGAAACTCTTTACCAAGTCTGGTTGGATTGATTGTCATGTCATCCCTGCTGCCTTTCCTATCATTGATGATGCCTTGTTGAATAACCTGTCCTTCTGCCCTAACCAGGAGGAGATTAGATTGGTCATTAAGGAAATGAATGGTCTTAAGGCCCCTGGTAAAGATGGTTTCCATGCTATCTTTTACCAAAAATGTTGGGATTCAGTTGGAAGGGACTTCTCCACCTTTATTGCTTCTTGTTTCATGAACCCCAGCAGAATCAAATGTCTGAATGAGACACTGTTGGCTTTGATCCCAAAAGTGGACAACCCTACCTCCTTGAAACAGTTTAGGCCTATTAGTCTTTGCAATGTGGGATATAAAGTTGTGGCTAAGCTTATTGCTAATAGAATTAAACCTCTTATGGCTAAGCTAGTTAACAGTTTTCAAACCAGTTTCATACCTAACAGACACATCACTGATAATATCATCATAATGCAGGAAACTATCCACTCGATGGCCAGGAAAGGAGGAAAGAAAGGCTACATGCTTCTAAAGATTGATCTTGCAAAAGCCTACGATAGAATTGAGTGGGAGTTTCTAGAGGACACACTCAGAGCTGCAAGGCTTCCTGAAGGATGTGTTAAAATGATAATGGAATGTGTTACATCAACAAGCTACCAAGTGCTTTGGAATGGAGGAGAGACTGGCAGCTTCAAGCCTACCACAGGACTAAGACAGGGATGCCCCCTCTCTCCCTACCTTTTTACTCTTTGTATGGAAAGATTGAGCCATTGTATCTCCCAGGAAGTTAGTAATCATAGATGGAAACCTATCAGACTCTCACCTGGAGGGCCAGAGTTGTCCCATATGTTCTTTGCTGATGATCTTGTTTTGTTTGTGGAAGCTAGTCCCCAACAAGCTGAGATTGTCATGAACTGTTTAGATAACTTCTGTGCTGCCTCAGGAGAGTCTGTTAGCAAGGAGAAATCTAGGGTGTTTTTCTCTAAAAATGTGAAGAACCAAACTAGGAGTGTGATTTGTAATAGACTGGGTATGCAGGTTACCAAGGACCTAGGAAGATACCTAGGTGTCCCAGTTATCCATGGGAGGATAACCAAGTCAACCTACAAGTATATCCTGGATAGGATTGACCAAAAGCTTACTAGTTGGAAAGCTAGAACTCTGTCACTTGCTGGCAGAGTCACCCTTGCTGTTTCCGTTCTGAATGCCCTACCTACCTATGCAATGCAGACTACTTTCTTGCCTGCTTCCATCTGTGATGCTATTGATAAGAGAGTTAGATCCTTTGTATGGGGTTCTAGGGATGGGAAGAGAAAGTTCCACCTGGTGTCTTGGGAGAACATTTGCAAACCCAAAGACCAAGGTGGACTGGGACTTAAGTCCGCCAGAAATATGAACATGGCCTATATGATCAAACTTGGTTGGAATATGCTGAATAAGGAATCTGACTTGTGGGTTAGAGTTTTGCAGGGGAAATACTTTAAGCAAAAGGATGGGGAAATTTTGTCAATGAAAAAGACCAACCACTCTAGCCTGTGGAAAGCTGTGATCAAGGGAATGAACTTGATGAAACAGGCTCCCTACTGGAGTATTAGAGATGGGAGATCAACCCTTTTCTGGACACAGCCCTGGGTGGACAATGACACCATTCTGCTGGATCATGCTACCATTGACATCACTGTGGAGGAGAAGGAGTCCTTTGTTGCTGACTGGATTACTGAGGAAGGTAAGTGGGACTGGGACAAACTCAGAATGTGCCTACCTGATGGCATCCTCTCGGCTATTGCAGGTATTGATGCACCTAACCAGGAGCTTGGAGAAGATACCACCTTCTGGGGAATGGAGCAAGATGGCAGATTCAGCCTAAAGTCTGCATACAAACTGGCTGCAGATGTGGAGGAGATGGAAGCCAGTGGGAAATGGAAAGAGCTATGGAAGTGGACAGGCCCAAATCGCATCAAACACTTTCTATGGCTGGTTACCCATAACAGGTTACTCACCAACGCTGAACTGACAAGAAGGAAGATCTCTAATGCCAGCCTGTGTTGCCACTGCAAAGTGGAGGATGAATCAATTGAACAAATCTTGAGAAACTGCAGCAAAGCGAGAAGAATTTGGGAGAAGTTTATGATGAAAGACGTCACTAGGAATGGAAGACTTCCCTTCTCTGAATGGCTCTCTCTCAACATCAAACATGAACCAAATGCCACTGAGTTTGGGATTATCTGCTGGCAACTATGGAAGCAGAGAAATGAAGAGGTAATGGAGGGAAGAATTTTCTCTCGTGACAGTGTATGTGCCAAGATCCAGGCCTGGTTTAACATTGTGCAGAAAGCTAACCAGAACATCCAGAAAACCTTTCCTGTTGTTCGACCTGTCAAGCATAACTGTCTTATTGGCTGGAAACCACCTGACGAAGGCTGGATACAGCTCCAATCGGATGGTTCTGTCCTCTCTCCCAGTGGTAAAGCTGCTGCCGGGGGATTGCTTAGGGACCACACAGGGAAGTGCCTTGGAGCGTACGTTTGTAACCTAGGCCACTGCTCCATCACAGCTGCAGAGCTAAGGGGAGCCTTGGAGGGACTCAAGATCGCTTGGAGAGCAGGCTACCGCAAGATCCAACTTAGCATGGACTCCACCACAGCGATCAAAATCATCGATAGAAGATTGGAAGATGATCATCGACATGGCAGCATTGCCAAACAATTTAACCACCTTTTGAACCTTCAATGGGATGTTCGTGTGTCTCATGTGTATAGGGAAGCCAATTCGGCGGCAGATTTCTTGGCTAGCAAGGCTCATGGTTTCACTTTTGGTACACGTCCTTTCAATGTGTACGACAAGGATCTTGTTCATTGGATCCGACATGATGTAATGGGAGTTTCCCATGAACGTTTTATTGTTAATGTTACTTAGGCGCTTTGCGTCTACCTTCTTACCAAAAAAAAAAAAAAGAGAAAACTCCTCCCAAAAGAATCGCCCCCCAATTATTAAAACTTCTCCTCTAGAGAGAATTCTGCTTGTCTCCCCACAGCTAATTTCGTCCCCAGAGAATTAATTGCCCTCCATCAATTGGGCTTTGGCCCAATTACTTGTTGGGGAAGAAACATGGATCCAATTCTTCTGGGCCTTGAGCCCAATTGAGTAGTCCACCAGTAGTTCGAGCCCGATTTATTGCTTGTGCACTCGCTCCTTTTTCGTGCTTTCTCCACCTGTATCATATCAAACTCATGGCACTAGGCAGTAATGGTTTTTCAACCATTCTCGGGTTAGCGAGCCCTCAAATAGCACCAATTGGCTAAAACATACCATGGATAATCTCATAAAGTCCAAAAATTCAATATGTTAAAGCCGATTATCACAACCCCACACTCAATTGTTGCTTGTCCCTAAGCAACGACTCAAACATCACAAACACATAATCATCCCAAAACAATGACACACCACAGACTCAACTTCAAACCAAAATTTCCTTGTACTCTTGTTGTAATCAATAGTTTCTTTCTCAACGGACAAGTTGTGCTTTAATGGTCATACCTTTCACCCCACACTCAAGTTCTTTACAACCATTATCATTTACTAACTCAAATCCACCAAAAACTCAATTAGCAACACTCAATTCAGGTCATCAGTAGCGGGTGATTAACAACTTATGGTGCAACAGTTATTAGGAGAATCTAACCACATCAGTGAGGTGCATATCTCGTGAGGACAATCTGGCTTACTCACACCAATCATAAGCAATTAATGAAGCATGAGTCTCA